TTTCCTGCCAGACGTTTCAACTGCTTGAGGCGGTCTTGAGGCATATCAATGCAAGTGACAAAGAGACCTTGCCACTCATTCTCCATCCTTATCTCCAAGAGATTGATAGACACTGAGCCTAGACCTCAAGTTGTCAGGCTTTCCCAGCTTAAGAAGGTGTCAACCCCGCGATAAGCCAGGTTACCACATGGCCATGAGATTGCTGAGAGCAAAAGTCGCTATCATTGGCGCCCAACTTTGAACGGTGGTGATACCTGCGTAAGCTTGCTGCCCTCGAGATAAGGAGTTCGGCAATGTGCGAAAACGGAAAGCCCTAACTGGCGAGGCGACACGGAAGGATTTGTTGAAGCACTTAGCATTCATTAGATCTCTCTTTCGGAGTACCGCACGCGGGAATGTCCACTAAGCGAGAATGGGTTGTGGCCATTTGGAACTGCTGGTTTCTGCTGAAATACCAGGGACTAGCACCAAATCAGTTCATATAGAAGGTGGAAAAGCTTGAATAGATTGCCCAGTGCTGCACTTGAGGCAGGGGGGCTAAGCGAGCACCGACATATCCAGATCCGGGACGGCTTCTTCTATACAGGCTCGCAGGAGGCTCAAGAGAAGAGGTCTCGCTTGACGCCCAAAATAGTGTTAGAACGACACAATGATAGACGGCATAGCTAAGCAGATACCAGTCTGGTTGGATGTTGACACCGGTAAGCTGAGCTAGACTTGGCCTCTGCAGGCGAATAGTATGGGTACTGACCTTGCTCAGGGCATGATGTAGGAGATCCCTTTCCTTCATCATAACAGCGAAAACACGGCCAACCTGGACTGTAGGACGTCTTTGCCATTCTCATTGCGGCACATCATCCGCAGTTGAAGTTCCTGGGTGTCAGCTCAACCCACGGCAATGCACCTCAAGTCCACACCACGAACAACTCAAGTGCGGTCTTGAATGCCGTGGGAAGGACAGATGTCAAGGTCTATCCTGGGTCGCTGAAGCCGTTCTGTCGAGAAGAAGTTGAGACGCCTGACATCCATGGTGAACACGTTCTCCGCGAGGAATGGTTGCTCAGCGCTGATCATAACTAGGTCCCACGGGCTTGGGTGGTACGAGTCTTCTTCCGCAGCCGACGACAAACATCGTCAAGGATGTGAATTTTCTCGCTGCCACTCGCGACGCCATCATGGCTCAGCCGCCTCAGACAGCGTGGTATGTGGCGACAGGGCCTTGTACGAACGCTGCCCTGCTCTTCTCGGCCTATCCTGAGGTAGCCCACCACCTTGCCGGGTAAGTTGACTGTGTCTCCATGCTTTTTGGGAGGAAAGCAACAGTGATATCAGGTCCTCGAATTGAAACGGAATTTGCAGCTGACACTGTGCTTTGGTAGAATAAGCATCATGGGAGGCGCAGTAGGGGGCGATTTCTGCCCTCAGATCTCGAAAGAGTTTGGCAAAACCCTAGGTCAAGGCGAGGGGTTTGGTAACGAGACTCCTTGGGCAGAATTCAACATCTATTGTGATCCCGAAGCAGCTCAAGCAGTCTTTTCGAACCCGGTCGTGGCAGCAAAAACTACCCTTGTCACACTCGATCTCACGCATCAATGCCTCGCGACCAAGGAGATCCGAGAGCGGTTCCTGGGGTCCGAGAAGCCAAGTCAGCTCCGCCTCTTTCTTCACGAGATCCTGACCTTCTTCGCACAGAGTTACGTTGAATGGTTTGATGTGTATGAAGGCCCTCCATTGCATGATCCCCTCGCGGTTGCGGCGCTGTTTGGCTATTCCAGTGGCATATACGAGGAGGATGGCGATCGCTACAAGGTCAAAGTCGTGACAGATGGAGCACATAGCCCACTGGATTCGATCAGAGGACAAGTAGGCAGGACCATTGTGGAGAAAGTAGAGGCGGGGCCAGATGGTGTCGCAAGAGGCGTGAGGATCCCTAGGAAACTGCATACACATACATTCTGGGACGTCTTGGAGCAATGTACGAAGACTGCCGATGAGAGGATGTCGCGGTGATCAATGCTTCATTGTGAGGTCAGCCAGCATCGAGTTGAAATGTTTGTTGTTGTACAAAGAAAGATCGAGACAAGCATGGCATGCCGCAGCACCAAGTCTGGGCACCTCTGGGCACCTTGGCTAGTGACTTGATAATAAGTGAAAGTGAGATAAGGCCTACCGGGTAATTAGTGTGACTGCGCTGGAGCATGTCTTGACTTATCACCTGCGGATCCAACTGAATCTTGACCAAATCACAGCGATCCGCCATTTGGATCCCCGAGCCACTTCGTTCAATCGCTCCCAATTTGCGCTGGAATGCCCGGAGACAGGCCCCCCATATGTTCAGGACCTATCCTTCTACACGTACAACCCTTTGGACAAGACCATGAATGAACTTCTCTCACTCAAACTAAATCACACCTGCAAGTCGAATGTCGTTGCGCTATTTTCTGAGGGCGTGTGTATTAACAAGACGGTTGACGCTCGCGTCGTCAGAGGGAAGCTTTTACTTCAGTGTTCATAAGCTGGATATCCGTATCATTACTAGCTCAACCCTCGAGCACTCTGGTTTCACGAGTCGACCTAAGTCAAATTGTCTTCAATAGACTTTTGTCTACCATCTATAAACTCACCGCAAGATCAGCTGTACTCATGCTCCAGACAGAGTCTGAGTGAAACTGGACTGTGGCGGTACGCGCGTCCACATTGAAGTCGAGATATGGCAGTCTTTTGGAGGCCGAGACTCTAACAACAGGAACGAGGCGGAGGATGTACATTTCTCTGACGAACCTGTGATAGATAAACCCTTCGACGTTAATCATCCCCCTATTCGCGACCTAGAGAAAGTATTTAGAGGCGGAGTTAAAGGAGAGTGCGTAGGTTTATGCTCCCCGAATCAGCCTCAAAGGCACCAGAGCTGGATCCAGTTACAGAAATGGCACTATATCCCGATCATGGCTCAATTGCGCAGGTACGGTGTCCCCTGTAATGACGACAGGATGCCAGCTCGATTTCAAGACCAGCGCTGCTCTTGCAATATGTGATACAATGAAAAGGGCAAAACGAGCGGATCATTCCCTAGAGTTGCAGTATTTAAAAGTATGCGATGCGAGCGGCCGGCAGAGGTACTTGAACTTACGACACCAGCAAAATCAGCGGATAGCGGACGAATAGGGTGCAAAGGACACTTCGATCCCATGCGCCTCGGAAACAGCCAAAGACTGGTAGAAAGGAGCGCAGTATACAATGTCCACGTTGTGCCGTGTTTGTACGTAGCACAAACAGGATGCTTACCCCACACAAGGCTGTAAAGTCAACCCCCTTCTCCTTCGCCTAACCCTCCTTTTTACCTAAACAATTGCCTAATGTTTTCCCGAATGTGGCTAGTAATCTCTGGCCACGCTCCGATACTCGGTCGTCCGAGGAGTTATCAAAGCAGAAGCATGTGGAACGAGGAGTCAAAAGATCGAGACGATGCAGCATTTTCGCCAGGACACTGCCTCGATGACTCATGAGTGAAAAGTTCGATTGCTCTGTTCATATTTTTTACCCCGTGAGTGCTTTCATCTCTGTCTGAGAGTGAGTGAGAGAGAGAGCGTTGTCGATAAACCGATAAACGGGCACCAGGCAAATATGGCATCTTCTTCTGATTCTTCTTCGGCCACATATCCCTCGCCAGTCCGAGCCCCGCCGCACGTTCTGTCGCTGCTGGATCGACTGCATCGAGCGTCGCGGGTGCAGGAAGATGCGATCGAGCCTGCGGAGCTCGAGGCGCAAGGCTTCCACAACTACATGAGGGACAAGTTCATCGCGCTGGATCGCGACAAGTCCGAGTTCGTGTACCAGCTCTGCTGTGCCATTGGGGCCAGGAATGTCGTCGAGGCCGGGACCAGCTTCGGCGTCAGCACCATCTACCTCGCGCTAGCGGTGTCGGAGAATGTCAAGAAAGCCGGAGGCGGTGGTAAAGGAGGGGTCGTCATCGCGACAGAGTATGAAAAGACCAAGGCGGACAAGGCGCGCCAGCATTGGAAAGAGGCGGGCGATGAGGTGACGGGCTGCATTGAGCTCCGCGAGGGCGATATCCGCGAGACGCTCAAGGAGGGATTGCCTGAGATTGACCTGCTTTTGTTGGACAGTAAGCTCTTGTCTCGTTCTCTCGCGTATCTCTTCTCTCCATCGTCTCTCTTCTACTCCCTCACTGTATCTCTCTCTTTATTCTGAGGCAATCTCGCTGGTCGGAGTCAGCCTTGCAATGCCATCTTCAAATCCCGCCCCAACAACTTGTGATTTGTTTGCATGTTTCCTGCATCATGGACACACAAACTGACAAGATCCACACCGCCGGCACCAGTCTGGACTCCCATGGCATTGCCCGTCGTGAAATTGTGCCAGCCCCGGATGCGCCGCGGCGCCGTGGTCATCGCAGACAACACGATCAGTGCGGCTGACAGATACAAGGAGCTGCTGGACTACATGCGGGATCCGGCCAGTGGGTTCAGGAATCTGACTTTGCCATACACGAATGGGCTGGAGATGAGTGTTTACATGCCATAACCCAAAGGGGCTTGATAAGACACTGTCAAGGTGTTATGAAAAGAGTAAAGATTACTTATGGGCAGGTTAGGAGGAACGTGTCAACACTTGACTCCCGTCGGTAAATGTCTGGTGGTCGGATCAAAGTGGCAGGGCAGAAGGGAAGGAAATATACATTGAATCATCCAACATGCGCTATGTGACTTGTCTTGCTTTTTCATTGAATCCCCAATTCACCGCATGCCTCTTTGTCTTCTCATGGTGAATTTCGCAGTGACGCATGCAAGGAACAATGAGGCACAAAAGTAGTTCCGTGTTCTTGTTCTTCTCCTCCCTTTCTCTTTATCTCCTATTGTCTCCCTCCTTCTCGCTCCAAGCAGGCACCATCGAACTCCTCCTTGACTTTCGAGTGAGAATGTCCACCTGACTCTTGTCATATTCTGTCCGAGTCCTTCCAGTTTTACTCGACTTCAATGATGAGATCCCTCTATGTCTCGCTCACCTTCGTGCTCGGCCTGCTAAGTTCTGTGCCATTCTCTGCCGCCGAAAATGGAATCCTCTTCAATGTCACCGACGCGCTCCCTACCGAGACTTCACCACGGAAACTAAGTGATCGAGCCGTCAACGGTGTAAGTTGACCTCACTACCTCCCTATCTTGGTCCCAGACTCTTGCGGAATCCTTTCGGCTTTTGTCGCGCACACAAGTCGAGACATTCCTGAAAAGGTCGCCAGGGGTCTGGAATGCCGACTGACTAACTGTCATTGTTAGATCTACATCTGCCAATATCCGCACTGGGGAGGCACTTGTTTCTGGACACCCATTAGCTCCTCCTCCTACAATCAATGTGGTATCGTCACATCGCACGGCGGTTGGGCGTCAATTGGACCCGACAAGGACGTTAAGGTCGATCTTTACCGGTATGTTTTATTCTCACCCTATTACAATGTACCCCATCACATCTCGCCCCTGCTTTCAATTTACGGGGTAGATGTGCCCCTCCTGCCGCTGCATGAGTCGAGAATTCGAGCTAATTTCAGCCCTCATAACGTGTCTTTGCAACAGGGATACCGCATGTCAACAACCGTTCTGGAAAGGCCTGGTCCATCCAGGCTCCGACAACGTCCCTGCCCAGGTTGCGGCTCGAGGCCTTCCCCCCGTGACAGGGGATGTGTTTGGCGCAGTTTTTAGAGCGCTATGACGACAATCCACCCGAGAAATAAAGAGAGAAATTGGACGGATATGTACATGTACGAGGTACACCAACATGGAGTCTCCAGGTGGTGGGCGCCACAATGTTCACTTGAGTCCTTGATTCGAGATAGGTCAGGTTTTCAGACACCAGCGGTGACTTTAAGTGCACACAATTGTTTCTTCATGGTGCACCGTGTTGAACAAATGCATGGCCTAGTCCGAAGGTAGAGCGTTGATGACGCGGGACAAACCTTGGAAGATGGTGGTGACCTGTCACTTCGAAGACTGTACCTCGAGTGCCCGAGTTGTGGATAGGAGACGTGAGGAGCTACTCGCTCTACCGTTGTGGTGTAATAGCGGCAAAATTTCCCCGCGCAAAATCCTCCTTACGTAGGTAGGCGCGCTTAGGATGCTCACGACGCGTCTGCACCCCGTACTTACGTCTTCCGATCCTGCACAAAATGTGTATCAATGAAAAAAGCACCAGCGCAAAGGATTCTAGCTAGTACCTAGGAATTAACCACCATCCTACCCCTTCAATTCCTGCATCTCCCCAATCTGCTCTGCACCCCCGTCCCGTCGTGTCACCAGCCCGACAAAAACCTACCTTAGTACCTAGGTAGAGTCTCTACTAGAAACTAGACGCATGCCTTCGTCCTCCTCCTCCTCCGCCGCCGTCCAACAATCCCTCAACAGCCTGCTCCCCACACACGCCCACGCCGCGCCGCTCGTGCACCTGTGCGAATCGCTCCTCGCGCAGTCCCGCCAGCGGGCCTCGCACCTGAAACCCGACGAAGAGATCGCCCGTGCCTACGCATGCTGCGAGATCGCCTGCACCCGGCTCAGGGCCAAGTGTCGCTTGCCGGCGGTCAAGACGGGCGGAGCACCATGCAAGCCGGCGGCGTATAAAAAGCTGGTGGCGTTCTTGGAGAGGGTGTTGGATGAGGATGGTACCGCAACAACAACAGCGCCCAAATCGACGCCGGGTGGGAGGAAGAGAAATGCAGATGGATCGCTAAAGCAGACGGGACTGGAGAGTGAGACGGCGGCCACGCCGTCGAAGTCTACGGGACGACGACGAAACGATTTTTTGGGGAAGATCAAGGCGAGCGCGAAGCGCAAGGGCGAGGGCGAGGGTGAGGGTGAGAACGACGGCGAAGCGCCAGCCTACACGATGCCCTCGATCCGCAAACTGTGCAAAACCTTCTCGACACCTCTGCTCGCCCCGCACGTCTACACCGGCACCTGCATCGTGCTGAAACTGAGCGGTCTGTGGCCACCACCGGACGAGGACGACCCAGCAGCGCCAGTGGACGGGAGCCCCCTCCAAGAAACCGTGACGGGCCTCTTGACAGCGCTGTTCCTCATGACGTTGACCCGCATGCAGACCGCAAAGATGACCACGTCCGTGTACAAGACCACGTGCGCGCGGGCCGTGCAGGTCCTGGGATACAATCCAGGGACGAAAGGCGTGGAGGAATGGATCCGCCGGATCAACCGCGAGGGATTCTGTCGGGGCCAGGACTGGTGGGCCAGCGTGCCGGAGAAAGTCTTTGAGTTTGATCCTACCGTCGTCGACGATGACGGCGGTGGTCACTGTGCGACACAAAACTTCAGAGGTCGACTCGACGCAGATGAGAGCGACGACGATGACGACGATCAAGAAGATCCGATTCTCTCGAGTCGCAGAAGACGCAGGATCCCCGCAGATACCGCACGAGGAAGGAAAGCGGACAACACAATGAACGAGGAAGACGAAGAAGACGACGACCCAGACGGCGTCCTCCTCCCGGGCCTGGCGACCATGATGCAAGACGCGCTCGACCTCCTGAGCGCCGAGCGCACGCGCGACTTCGAGACGTGGAAGAAACAGTTGCTGCGCCGGCTGGAGAGGCTGGACAAGACGCCTGCGCAAGGTGGTGGTGGTACGAGGGGGAGAAAGCATGCTCGTGTCGCTGCGCCGGTGAGTAATGGCGCCGTTGATACCGTTGTTGATGTCCCTGTAGCCATAACCGCGGAATGAATTGGTCCGATTGATGCATATCATTCATCATAAAAAGTCAGCTTCTATCTTAGGCTGTACGAGATACGAATATAGTCCGCAGATCGGAAGCGGGCATTGGTCTAGCTAGGGAGACTATGGAGATCACTTCCGCCCGCCTTCACAACTCTGTTCCGATGGTGTAAGAATGAATCATCAATCAATCCCCATTCTGCTCTCCTTGTCTTGGGTATCATCAGATTCTTACGTGTCTTTTCTATTATACACAAAATCGAATGACAAAAGGTGCAACCTGCAAGACAATGCAGTGCTGTGCCCGAATCTGGCCTTTAGTTTCTGTTCAAACGAAGAATGAGGCCAGCGGCTGACCAAATAAAACTCCTTCATTGTCGGTTAGTCCGTCAGTCCGTCCAGCATTGAACACGTCCTTCGCCTTCCACTCCCCCATTTTTTCTCTGTCCCCATTCTAAAGTCGTCGTCCTCTTCCCCTCCCTCTCCCTCTCCCTCTGTTGCCTCCTCCACCGCCGCCGCGGCGATGGTTTCCACGACCCCTCCCCCCGCCTTGTCCATGCTGTCGTGGGCGGCTGTGGTATGCCTGGAACTCAGAACTCTCGGGTCTCGGGCCCTGCTGCACCCGAGAATCTCTCTCTTGTTCACTCATGTCGAATTTGTTTTCGATCCCAATCAAGTCGCAGTACGTGCTCGTCTGTGGGTTCGTCACCTCGCGCGGCATCTCCTCTGGCGCGACCTGTAGACGTGGGTCATACAAGGGGGCTGTTACACTGAAGTTCTCCGGAACTTGCAGTTTACCTGGCTTGACTACGTGCTCAGTGACCCATTCCTGCTCCTCCGTGATTCGGTCACGGTAGTACGTGTCCCCGCGGTGTTGTGGAACTCTGTCTTTGGGAGACCCGCCGAGTTGGAGCTCAGAGGCAAACACTCGTTGGATCGCAAGCCATTCTGGGTCGTAGGAAAGCTTGAGAGGGCGTTTGATCTCCTCCTCAGATGTTATCGATTGGATTTCAAGAAGCTGGAGAAATTCCTGGTACATTTCGCATTTCCCAAGGGCTAGGAAGTAGGTCGTTTTGTTGGTGATGTCCTCCGGAAATGGTAGTGGTGCAGAGACTTCAACAGGTGCCTTCTTGACGAAATTGTGTGATAGCGCCGCCAGCTGGTCTTTTATTTCCTGGGGCACATCGTCGTTGCTTTGCACCACCTGCGGCTCCGTGTCTGGTTTCTTGCCACTGTGAGACTGTTCTGAAAAGCCTCCGGCACTTCGGCTGGGAAGTGGTTGTGGATCGAACGGTGCGGAAGGTGGCTTCTGTTCGGCGTCAGACAATGTCGTGGATGACTCGATCGAATCATGTGAGCTGTGTACTTCGTGTCGCAGGGAAGAGATGCTGGGCATTGGAGTGAAGGGTGAGGAAGGCGTAGTCAGCTTGACGCCACCATCCTCGCTCTCTTCTGATAGACTGTGGGAGGTGTCATGTTTCTTAACCGTATCAATATCGGCGTTTTTGGCTGTCTCACGAGAGATTTGAAGAGGCTTGCTTCGAGATGCAGCTGTGTCCTCAATGGCTACCGTGGTAGACTCGTCGTCGTCGCTCATATCAATATCGATGGCGTCTGGGTTGGCCACCACGGGTTTGACGGGTTCAGGCACACTCGCTTTAGCGCCATCCAATTGATCCCCAGTGGTGTCTGCTCGATTTTCGGTGCTAGGCAGATCTGATGCAGGATCTGATGGCCCAGTTTCTACGCGCTGTCTTTTGGAAGGTCTTGAGTAGAAGCACCCGTCGAGATTGGGAATTGGGTCCGGATCCTCCGAAGAGAATCGACTTCGAGATGTCATCAGCACCGTACGCTCGAGACCGTTTTCCCTGCCGATTTTGTTGAACGTCTCATCATATGAGTATTGGGGAGTAGAAGCGGCACCAGGTTGTCCTTCTTGTTGCAGTTTCGTCTCTTGGTCCTCTGAAATCGTGGCTCTTTGTTCGGCATCGTCTTGCTGAGCAGGATCCTGGAATTGTTGCCATGCTGACACTTGTTGTCGGTCTTCTGGGCGTGGAGTGACATTGCCTGAGAGTTCTTCGATGAACCCGCCAGCCGAACGAGAGCTTCCATGTTGGGATACCTCACTCTCCTCGTGTGAGTATACGGCAGCATACTTAGTGTGGAGATGTGCCGAGAACCAATACGGCGGCCGCAGTCGATCCAAACACTGTCGTGCAGCTGCGCTCCCAAGCTTCCCAACCGATGAGTCGGCCTCGAAGTCGCGTCTTTTCCGGAAGAGCCATTTATAGTCTCCGTGGTGTTCGACTCCTTGTGGCCAGTCATGAGAAAGGCCAATATCGACCTGGGACCGGAGAGACAACAGTTTTCTGACATCGATCTCTCGAACATGGTAGATGCTGTTTATATCCTCCTGATTGTATGGAAGGCGCTCGAAATGAGGTTTGCGGTAGTCGTATCCTTTCCAAATTCCAGTCAGCCCAGCGATTCTGAGGGGTCCCAATCGGATGACATTGGCAGCTCCCAGGTAGTAGATGTTTGGTGCG